ATACATATAAATCAGATAGCTGTGCTCCACACATTGAAGAGTCTAGTCCAACGGCATATAAAATGTCAACATACAGCTGTTACTTGTAGTTCCTTTGGGTGCTGTAAACTTATAGCAAGCTAATGTTGTTAAGGAATGTGATGCTGGCTGATGAAAGGATAAACCCAGTCTATGGACAAGTTATTCCCTTCGTACATAGAAGATGTTGTATCCAAGTTCTATTATCCCTCCAATGAGCAACACCCAAAAGGGAATAAAGACATAAGCTAGCTTTATTTCAGCAAGCTGTTCCAATTTTGCACAGAGGGCGAGGCAAAAGGCCAACTTAAGCAGCATTGCTACAAGGTACCAAGCTTTCTTCTTGAGGTGACGGGAACCATTTCGAGGGTCATAGCCAGACTTACAACGGCGAGCCATTTTTACAATTATCATAACTAGAAGAATAGTATCAAATATCCAAACTGGGATAAATATGAGAAACCAGTTCCATGGTGCCTTTTCATCCAATTTCAACACTAACATGATCAGGAACAGCAATGTGAAGAGCCATGTAAGCAGCACTCTCTGCGCCAAGGACATTCTCATTTAAACAGCTTTAGTGGGTGGTTGGCAAGAGTAGAAAAGATGGACCCTAGGATAAAGCAGAACAAAAACAAATGGACTGGGGAGATATCAGTAAGTCTAGCAAAAACAAACAAACCACACACCATCAAGCTAGGTTTATAAATGAAATTTCACCCAAAATGCAATTTAAATATAAAGAAAACAGTCTCAGGGCCAAGTCTAGTTTACATTCAACTAATTAGTTCCACTTGTAGAAGCCCACGCAAGGACTTCCACTAGCACAATGGGGCTCCCCCACTGCCCCCAAATTGGCTTGTGCGTCTGTCAGGAGAACCCCAAGAACAGTGCAAGGCGGGAGAAAAATGGGAGATTATTCAATTGAGCAAGAAGAAATGCTTCTGCAGATGGAGCAATCTTAGCGCTATGCTGAATTGCTCCCTTTATCTCCCATATGTTGACTTAAGCAAAAACAGTTGTGCCTTATATTTTTATATATAAGGTTACATGTTTGCTATTCACTTAGAAAACCCCAAACGACTTGGGACCAAGTTACCTGAATGAACACCTTTCCTCGTATAGACTTGCCCGCTCTCTAAGAACTTTGCATGAGGCCCTCTTGGTTGTGTTGCAGCCGGCTGAAGTCCATCTTGCAGCAATGTGGAGGAGGGTCTTTTTGGTGGTGGTGGCAGCCAGCTTGTGGAACAATCCCTCCTCTGAAATAAGGCAAGCACCAGCATCAGGTGCTTGCTAAAAACATACTGCTATCTTCCTTCAGGTCTGCATAATATGTTACCCCTAGACTCTTAAATCCAATTGTTGGAGGAGAAAAAAAGTCTGTGGCCACATGGTACAGATGTTGGAAAACACAACAGAAAAACATTAAGGCTCATTAACAAAGGAACCAAATGTCATGACTGACTGGCACGACAGCTCCCTGCTCATGCTGTCAGTGTGTGGTGGTCAGGTGCAAAGGTGAGTCAAACAAACTGGAACAGGCTGGGCAGGAGGTGGGCACTGGAGAAGGAGAGATGGTCAACCAGCCAGAGGATAAAGGTGTTGCAAAAAATAGCATGTTTAGAGGGAGTTCCAAGCAGGAAGGGAGCAAAGATGGTGAAGGAGCAGCGGTAAAATAAAAGAATAAAGAAACAGGCGATGGGCAAGCTTCAGCAAGCAACTTAGGACACAGGGTGGGATGAAGGAGGAAAAGTACCGGTATTTAACTGAAGGAATGGACAAGCTATTTAAACACCTGATGGTGGAGGGATTAATGGGGAAGCAAGACCACTTAAATAAACACAACTTAGAAAGGCTCTGAGGATGAGAAGGACTTGAAACGTGTCCAAGTGTCAAGGTACTTTCTGAAGGCGAGATAACCTCTGAGGCTCTGAAAACCCTTTTGATCCACAGTTGGAAGGAAGGTGGACACTCACACTAAACTATAGTAAAGCTCATATGTTTCTCTTGTGCTTTTGAACTCCACATATTAATTCTACAAATTTGGGAGAAATAATTTCACTCAGCCTGATTCTAACCATGCTGCTCAGAAGTAAAATATGCTTAGGACTGCGGCCTTAAAATGTTATAACTATCAGTTATATTTTGGCACCCACCAAGAAATCTGGTGATTTATTTCTTGCTAGTACCATATCAAAATAGCTGTATAACAACAACTCAACATATATCCCATATTACAATTGTGGGTAATTTTTACACCCACCCTTTTCTCCAGATTTGGATTTTGAGAAATTTTTTTGGTAGACTCAGATACCTTTTATGCAAGATTTTCCAGACCACTGGTACCACCACCTAACAAAGTTTCTTATAAATCATAGTACATTAGACATTTTTTGTACACTGCTTCAGCATCCAGACATTGTAAAACAGTATGTAAAATTAATGAAGGCACTAAAATTATTTATTTCACTTTGCTATTGTAAGCAATAGTTATGTATATGGTTGTCAAGAGAAAGGCAGTCATTTGCTTGTGATGACTGCGGAGAATACTGGACCATCTAATGTAGAAAGCCACTCCTCAAGCAAGATGGCATATTCAGGATCCCTTAGCATCAGATTGGTTATGATGCAAAGGGATCCTGAATATGCACTTTTGTAATCTCACACTCATAGCTAGGGGTAGGGAACAGAATCCTAATAAAAGAAGGCAGGCTGCAAAAGACTTTATTTAAAGATTATAGGGTAATGGTTGCCTTGGTCCTACTTTTTATGACCGTTTAGATATTTAATTTTTATATTTCAGGATCTATGGATCTCCCTGCCACAGTAACTCAAAAGTACCTCAGTGTGACATTTTCCTACTGCCAGCTTAGAATGCTTTTAAAATTTAAATAAAAAAATACACGTACCCTTACAGCCTCCTAGTAGCTAGGAATAATAGGTTTGGGTGTGAAACTGACACCAACACTGGAGACAAAATGTTTCTTAAATATATAAGGGAATACAGTACTGATATTTAGTTTTGGATCTTAAAAATGCTTGATGACAGTTTCTATGGACTCAAGGGATACAGTTGCAGACACCTGTCAAATTCCCTTGATCTCTGCCCCAGCCAAATTCTCACAATCCTGTCCCGCTACTGGATGCAATCTGCCTCTGTCCCCAAAGCTCCTCTGACTGTACTTCTAGCAGCTCGAACAGTTCAGCTGATTTTTTAAAACCATTTTTGGGCAAGACCTTAACACAGGGTAGCCTCTTGGTTCCCTTCTTCTGAAGCAAAGTACGTATAGTTACCACATTGCAGAGGAATAGCTGAATATTCAGATGCCAACCATTCACCTCAGCTCAGTCTTTGCCTCGCACTTCCATCATCAACCAACTTCCCAAATGCCATTATTTCTCCCCACTGACTTTCTTTGCTGATGAGAATCTGCAGCCAATCAGACTGTGCTGCTTCCTATACCAGTCAAAACAAATTTACCTAAGGCAGGCTCCATCTATAAATACTAAATGGATGGTGTCTCTCTACCCGCTTTCTGATCCAATCACCAAGCACATACTGCTTACTCAGGCCTGCAACACAGTAGCAGCACAATGCCTCAAACTTTGACAGTTGCATAGCTGTCAACCTTCCCTTTTTTGGCAGGAAATTCCCTTATACCAGCACCGTTTCCCGCTGCTATCTCGGATTGTTAGATATCCTGTAGACTGTCCCCAGGACAGGTGAAGCTGCTGATCCCTTATTTTCAAATCTGAAAGTTGACAGCTATGCAGTTCCTATGCTCTGACATCAACAGAGGCCACAGAACCATTTCCCAAAGCACAAAACATACATATGAGAAGCACAAAACGCAACATTTATTGGCACAGCTCCTTCCCACTGAGCCCTTGACTAGGACCTTAGATCACCTTAAGGGGGAGAATAGCTCTAATTTTCTTTTTAGGAAGCCTTATGGGCCATGAATGGACTGAAATCCCACTGAATTGCTTTTAGCTTGCTAGAAGCTATGTAAGTTCTTGCAGTTTTTATGCCGCCTTTTTTTAAAAAAAGCGAAATATATGATTATCACCCCACTTTGAGGGCAATAATTGAATACACTCAGGTCAGGAAAAACCCCATCCATGTGTATTCAGAAGTAATGTTCCACTGAATTCAATGGGACTTGCCCCCGTGGAATGGTATCTCCCGCCCCCCCCCGGGGGGCTCAACCATAGCAAGTAATAGACAGGGAATCTCTGAGGGGACATACCAACGGGGACAAAAAGGGGGGGGAGGAGGGGACTCCACAACCAGCCCCGACCTGAGCTAAATACCCCATTAATTCCAAATTACCCACCGGTCACGCTTCTGGCGTGCCTCGCAGCCGCCGCCGCCGCTGCCCTAGGACGGGGCCCCAGAGACTCGCTTCATCACCGCCCACCGCTCGAGGCCTCGGGCAAACCAGCGAGAAAAGAGGAGCCGACGTCTAAGCTGCTCCGACAGCCCCAGAGCCGACCGGCCGATGAGATATACGTCACATCCCGCACGACACGCTCATTGGTTGCAGAAGGTGCCTGTCATGTCGCTTGCTCCAAGCCTATTGGGTTGTCCGCATCGAATCCCACCTCGCGGGCAGCACGCCTTCGCTAAGTGCCCATTGGACAGGCCTGAGGAAAGTTTTTGCCCCCTCCTTATCCATTTCTGTCGAAGCGTGACTTACTACGCTCTCTCCTCCCTCTCCTCCTACTCGCGGGAAGAGCTGCCCATCACAGCCGCTTTGGAAAAAGCCCGTTTTGCGGCTACCAATCGCTTTTCACCGAGGGGCCGCTTTCTTTGGCGCCATTGGGTTGAAAAGCTCGCTCAAACCGCCTCGGCCCCGCCTTCTCCAGGGGCTTTCCGTCCAATGAGGAAAGTTGTTTATGTTGAGGCCGTCGGCGTCGGAGAGAGCGGCCGCCGCGCGCGCGCCGCATCCCTCCCCCTCCCCTTCCTCGGAGAGAGAGAGAGAGAGAGGGAGAGCGAAGGAGGGGCGATGATTGACGGGGCCGCCTTTCCCGCGGCAGCGCGCTGTTGCTGCCGTCGCGAGCGCGCGCGCCCCCGGAGCCGCGAGCTGTTGCCTCGCGCGGCGGCTCGTGCCCTTCTCCGCTGACTGAGGGGACGGACGGACGGGCTGACAGGCGGGCGGACAGTTCCCTTTTCTTGCCGCGTGAGGCGAGCACGGAGACCCGGTGAGGCTCGAACCCCGCTTCCACCCCCGCGCGAGCGCTGAGGCGACCGAGGGGGAGGGATGTATGGCGGGGGTCTCTCTCTCCCAGAGCGCGGGAAGGGACGGCTGAGGGGAAGGGCCAGGGGGCGGCGGCGGCGGCGGGGAGAGGATGTCCAGAGGCGCCCGCTGCCCTGGGAGGGGGTCGGGTCCTTCTTGCGGCGGGGGACGAGCCTCCTCCGCAGGTGCGAGGGGCGCCTCGGGCGAGGGGTGTGCCGCCGCGCGTGTGGCGAGGCGCCCAGCGGGTCCGGTGCCAGGGACACCGGGGAGGGCGGCCGGCCGGCCGGCCAGCGTGCGGCGCCGAGCGGGGTTCACGCCGGGACAGGGCAGCCTGGGCTGCTGTAATTGGAAAGCGGAGCAGGGAGGAGGAGGAGGAGGAGGCGACGGGCTGCCCAGGGCGCGTCTGAAGGGAGGCGAGGGCAGCCCGGAGAAGCCCGGCGGCGCTTGCGAAGCTGGCCTTATTATAGCCCCGAGGTTTTTCCCATGAGCTGCCAGCTCGGCCTCTGTGCTCCTCCTTGTAATTCGTCCAGCGTTTGTGCCTGAGTTGCATCGTGTTCAAGGGCTTGTGAGCTCTGCTTGCTCCCACAGGATTCAGGTAACGGCTCCCATCGTGGTGGATTTGTGCGTTTGTGTGTGTGGGGGGGGTTCATCTAGGCCGTCCTGGTGGCTGCCATTGCGTCCTTTGCTGCAGGGGTGCTTGTGCATGTGCTGATGTGCTCTCATCCAGATCCTTCAGATGCTCACAACTCTCAGAGAAACAACTAAGAAAAAAAGAGAGGGGGATATTGAGACCCTGTTCCCTTTCTATCAGTGCATTCCCCCCCCCCCCGCTTTATCAGTATCTTCATTGTGCTTTTCTGTCACTCGCAACAAAATTTCTGTAGTCTGACCACAAGATTATGCACAATCTGTTGCACCATTGTGCCAGTCAAATAAGGTGATAATTCTTTTGTCCAGGTATAGTTCAGTAAAGCTGTATTGGGTTCATACTCTTTAGAGCAGGCGAATCGTTCATAGCCCTTGCTCTTAAATTCAACCATCTATACAACCAAGCTTGTTGTTCTTCCCCCTTTCTTTCTCACCACAGTCTCCCATCTCTTTTAGTCAAAGGATGCTAACTTCTGTAGTCTGTTTCACAAGCAGACCATGTTGAACCTTTCACCTGGAATGCCTTCACTGACAACATCTGCCAAACCACTGTATTAAAATTGTTCCTAAAATATTGCTTGGGATCTGCTCTAGGATGTTGGGACAAGTAATTGCAGTAAAATATGGGGTACTGAAACACCACAAAAGCTATGTTTGATTCTCTCCCCTCCAGCTTCTTGATATTCACTTATGTATCATTTACAATGTGTATTTGGGCCTTGTGGTCAGTGTGGTGGTGTTGTTTTATTTGTTAAGTAAGTTTAGATATTAATGGCTTATTCTTTGCAATGTCTTAGGTACCTCACATCACTTAGGGACTTCATTAAACCTCAATGGTGCACTGTTCTTAGCAATATTGTTTCCTCCCACAATTTTTAAGTGCCTGAATTGTTTGTTTAGATCCTTGCAGGCATGGCCTTTCTTTACAAGAAATTTTACTGGTATGACTCCGTCTGGCTGACCAGTCTCTGGTGACCAGTCTCTGTATTCCTTCTTAACTTGTCTTTCCCTAGAAAATTTGTTTCACAGAAAATTTATATTGTCAAGTGTTCTAGAACTCAATTCCTGTGTTCCAAATAAAACCTTTAATTTTGGAAATCTGTATTTGTAAAGAAAGCTTTTATGTTGTTGGTGGGAGAGGACAAATAAGAAGAGTGTTTAAAGAAATCCTTATGTAAAATCTTTGTAATCCAATTTGCCTTTGGAGAAAGATTTCTGTATAGTTCTCTTTGTTCTTAATGGATCATATTAGGCAGTACTGTACACTATTACTGCTGAAAAAATATGAAGAATTTGCAACAATGTTTACATTTAAATAAGGATAGGATTATGCTGATTTGCAGTTTAGACGAATGATCGACAAGCTGCTTCTCTAGGAATGCAGCTGTAATAAAGTGATTTAAATAGTCCACTTCATTTGAAAAACCCCTTAAAATTCTGTGTGTCTGCATCACATACTGTCTTTAGTTCACCCAGCGGCAAATGGATACTTGACCCAGTAATCTCTAGAGTGATTAAAGTTGATACTTGGCAAAACCATATCCTTAGAAATCCTTTGAACTTTGACTACATCGGCCCATGAGGTTGAGGAACAGACTTTATAAACTTTTGTAGCATGATTTCTGTTCATGTTTTCATGCACTCCCACAGAGTGCAGTAGGATTTACTTCTAATATGTGTGCATATTATTTCACTTTTAATTAAATGTAGTTTGGGGGCTTGATCCTCTTTTGGAATGTCCCAGTGCAGGAATTAATGTGTTAAATCCTTGGCTTGGTTCCAAAGGACTACTTTAGGCAAGCTTAGTAATTTTATTTTTCAAAAATTCTGAATAGTGGATGAACATGACATATTGCAAGCTGCTTTGGAAACAGCCAATCTTTGAGAGCTGCTGCTGGAAAATACAAGCCCAAAGGCCCACTGTATGTTTGGCAATGGCTGAATTACCAGGAAAAGCTAGAGATTCCTTGAATAGAATCCACAAGCCGCACCTCCTGCCTGACCTCCACCAGTTTAGTATCTTCCACTGAGCCTCATAAATCACACAGCGGTGCCTACTCATAGGAGCCTGTATAACTGCACTAAAATATGAGAAGTATGTCCTCATGAGTGTTATTTTTAGTGTCTTTTTTTTTTTTTACAAAAACCTGGGGGCACAAAACAAACAAAACCTTGCAGCAATAATCATCTTCCCCTTTGTTATCACTATACTTATGGGATGTGGGGTCTGCAAAGGGAAATACCCTCAGTTGCTGGGCTCCTTCATTAGAGAATCTTTCAGGAAAGTATTTTTACTATTTTTATTCAACAACTGAGATACAGGGTGGATAGTACAAGATAGGAGTGACGAACCTTTCAGGTTGTGATTTTTTTATTTGCATTACACAGACACCCTGCACTATGCCAGAATAATATTTAATAACAATACCACCTCATTTTATGGGTTGGAACCTTTTCTGCTACCGCTCCTTAAATCCTAGAAGGGAACTTTTGGGAATTCAATTGTTTTCATGTCTCCACTCTGGACTTTCACCTCAAAAGAGGCCTGCTAGCCTTAAGCTATGAGTGGGGAAGCTGTGACCATTCAGATGTTGTGGTATTCCAACTCCTTTCAGCTCCAACCACCATAGCGAATGGTGGGAATTGCATTCTAACAATATCTGAATGACTGCAGGTTCCCCCATCCCTATTCTAAGTGTTTCTTTTGTAGCAGAAGTTCTGTCACTGCCCCAAAAGGAGATCTAGCCCAAGTTCCTGATGGCCATATGAACTCAACTCAGTCCCCAGGCCCCCACCCTCTCATTTTCCTGCTGGAGTTCAAGAATTGGCATATGTATGCAGCTGTTCCACTTGGCTAGTAAGTTCCCAGTCTACCAAGACTAATGCAGCTAGACTTGTGTGCTAGGAAAGTGACTGAATTGGGAGAACTTTACCAAACCAAGTACAAGGAAGAAGAGGGGCAGGGAGGCAGCTTGCTAAAAAGAGACTTCTTTGGGACCTAACATTGGTGGCTGTAGAGGATAGACAGCCCAAGTGTAAAAAAGCAATGTAGAGATTGAGAAAAGATTGCCCTTCTCAACCATGCACATACAGTAGCTGTGGAGAGATCAAGGCATGGGGCTCAAATCATGCCTCCCCCTCTAGACTTCAGAAACAATACCTAAGAGGGTCATCATAAGGGAGGGAGTGCCCCTAGCCCCTCTACACCTTTGGGGTGTAGAACTAGTTGCACAGTTCATCTGATTCCTGACAATAGAGAAATGACCAGTTGGTTTCCCAGAAAAATGGAATATCACTGAGTGGGATGGCAAACTTTTTTAGAATGAATAAAAAATAATAATCATGTAGGAGACCACTTTATAAATAAATTAAAAAGAGACATCTTCTCTTACTAATTGAGGGTCCCTCATGTTACATGTGTGTCATTGCATCACTACAGTGGGACTCTGTCATATATCACTTAAATAATGTGACAAGATGTAGCACAGTGGTAGGCAGTGTGATTCCCTGCCATTTACAAGTCTCATTGTTCCTGGTTATTGACCATGCTGGCTGAGACCTATGGATGTTGTATCACCATATTGGCTATCCTTTATCAGTGACTTCTTTCCTTGCCAACATGCCCCAGTTTTCCAGAGGAGCAATGGTAGCATAGAGTAATAATAATCTTTTGCTGTGTGGTTCAGTTTGTCACATTTCCCTAGCCATGCTTTAACAGTTCCCATGCTGTAAACATAAAGTGAGAAAGGGACTGAGCCTCATGATCACCATTCATCTCTGAATTGTTCATGTGATAAAAAGATAGCCATTTTGTGTAGATGACAAGTTTGTGCCAAGTAAAGGAAGCCCTAGGAGGAATGAGAAAAGTTGTTCTGGCAAATGGGTTCGGTTGATGTTTATACCACCAAGTTCTTGGGAACGTTTGATAGCATATTATACCCTGGAGACAGTAGCTTGGATCTGAACATATTCTTGTCCTGCCTGTAGACAACCAGGGTACTTAAAATTGAGATAGTTCAAAAATAGCTTTTATATGGCATTCTTAACGAAGGTTTTTAACACAAACAGGCCAGGCATCATGAAAACAGTGCAACTCAGTTCTAGAAGCAGGACATGTACCATACAGGTCCACAGCAGAACCTGTCTGCAACTACATTCATCTCAAGACTACGAGAATTAACTTGACTGAGTGGTGGTATGGCCGCAATAACATATATGGTGCTTGTGAAAAGGATGCTTGTAAATTTGATCAGTGATGGAATTTGCCTAAGAAAGTGATGGGGAATAGAAAGAATATGAGTGGATTTTGCCTCCCCA